GTGACGAGCGAACGCTTCAACCATCAATCTACCCCACCGAGACAGTAGGACAGGTGCCTAGTTTGAGGAAGGAGACCAAACAAACAGGACGCGGAGGAAACTGGACCCACAACACCTGTATGAAGACGTTCGCATCGACGAAAACGTATGCAATGGAGCAGCAATGTACAGGAATGAGAAACGACAGTAAGTTCAGTGATCAATCACGATTTCTTCTTCAACAACAAGGTACATGACGTCACGTCTCCCGAAGTCGAAATGAACGTCTTGTAAACACGTGCCTGGTCTGAACGTTCTTCGGGTAGACAGATTCGGGGGCGGAAGTGTGAAGGTGAGGAGCCATATCTTACACACGCAGATCTGACTTGATGGTGATACAATGCCCTTTCCACATCCATAAGAGCATGAGCATCGATCTGCGCAACTGGAAACCGATGACATGTGTCAACCAAGTCAACGATCCTGACCACCCGATCCCGTTTGTCGCTTCCTATGACAAGCATGGGTTCCTAATATCAATTCTAACCTGAATCCTCACGAGTATCAACTTGTCTAAATGTTGCACAGAGAGAAACTTGAACTGATACTGATGGCTGCAGATTGTACCACACGTTCATCCCGGATGAAGAATTGACTAGACTTTGCATGTGTTTATGATGGGTGCCACCGGTGGGGCAAGATACGCTCACCTTTTCGCAAACCCCTTTATCATTACTATTGATTCATAAACTCATTTGTTCTCATCGCTATATGGCTGCAATATTGCCGATGCGATGTAAAATCTTACTCACCACTCACTCATAAATACATACCTGGTCACATAATTAACACATAATTTCAGACTTATAATAAGTTGTTTTAAAAGCAAATGAACATCGCAAATTCATATATGAATTGCAGTTAGGAAATTCTGAATAATGAATGACTTGTTTAGATAACCTGCAGTTTATTTTAACTCCTTCACTTCAGAGCCATTTCCTGGCGGTGGGTAGCTTTAGTGAAGTTAAAGCATCTGCTCGTCACGCCGAAGACCAAGGTTCGATCCCCCACATGGGTACACTGCGTGAAACCCATTTCTGTTATCCCCCGCCGTGATGTTGCTGGAATATTGCTAAAAGCGGCGTTACACTATACTCACACACTCATTCACTCACACTCACTCAGAGCCCTCTCAGCTTGTATTGTAAGACAACTTTGCGGTAGATGTATCTTATTGCAGTCGCAATTTTAGTCCTAAGTAGCTACGATTTTTTTTGGCAAGACAGCTTCGTAGTCAGGTAGTTTCATTGCGAATGAAATTACAATACATAATTATCATAGATCATACCGCTACTTATCTTACCTATATATATATATATATATATATATATATATATATATATACGTATTATATTCTTCACCTATATGATCAGTAATTCATTAATATTTTCAGATTGGACCTAGGCATCACAAAATAATCGAAAGTACATTTGGTCTTTAGACATCATTTGAAGGCAAAGGAAAAGTTTGCAAGTACATATAAATGTTAACGTAAGTAATCATAAAGTGAAGTCGAGGGAACGAATACTCTCACTCTGAATGTACGCTTGTCCATGGGTGGAGGAGACTGTCCTTCTTCCATCAGGACCTCCAGCACCTGGTTCTTGACCTTGACCTTCTAGAAGTGGAGAGGACATCCGGTTGGTGGAGGGGATCGTCACCTTCCCATGGCGCTTGTGTACATTAGCTGGATTGGAGGACAGTCATCTTCCTTTGTGCATCCTGGGATGGGTGGGTGGCCAACGCCAGGAGGACTGGACCAGCAGAGTGCCCGTAGTACCAGGAACTTCTTCATTGTGAAAGCGATGTACCGGCAAAACCACACCATTTATACACTTCCAGTGCAGGACAGCTGACGTATTGTTAACTCAACGTAATTACTATTGAGTCAACATTGCATTGTATCATCAGCATAGCTTAGGTGATTAAAATGTGACTCTAAAGATCGGAAATATAAGGAATTGATTGCTATGTCATCTGGTTCTCTAAACGGACAAAGCGTAGAAACTAATTATCAAATATTGTTTTCATTGAAAGGTATTTCGTTTCAGAATGCAAATACTGAAACTGATTGTTATGTGTGTCTCTTAAAGAAACAAAACGCGAAATACAACTGTCCACATTTTTTTAACTGAAATGTAGTTTTTTTAATTTCAGAATGCAAATACTTACTTTGGAATGTCCATAATTTGAAGTTCACGTAGATGGTAGATGAAGCTATACAACATATGGAGATCTATTTAGAAATACATGTAAATGACAGACCTATATATAACTTCTGGTGATCTATTATGGAGGTCATGTATATGGTAGATAATGCTCTATAGCCGATGTTTTATTCGCGTACAAGGTCCACCGGCCCATTATACTAGCACAGAGCATGATAACGACTGTTTGACAAGAGCCCTGAGAACAAACATGACTAAATTATACATTATATAACAGTATATGGTATAGACAAAACAATACAATCTATACACGATGTTGCTAAACAACATGTTTTTCTTTGAAAAAGGAATTCCGTTTTTTTCAAAGCGAGAAAAACGTTTATTACAGACATTGAGTTTGTTACATGAAAATGAACATTTTGCCAATAGTTGATATTGTGGAATATGACTGGTGCGCTAATCCGAATAAAATGTGCACACTCAGCGTTTGGGATAATACTAAATGGGCAAAACTTTTCATGTCTTGGTATTTTGTGATATCTGCCGTTTCTACTTGAAGTCTATGGTTTGATCTGAGGAATCTTACAATATTCATTATATAGATTTTGACATCAATTAATCTAATGCAATTATGATGCCGAAAGTAATCTTTTATGGACGAAAACAATTCAAGCTTTGAACAACATTTAATTGTTTCGCCTTTAAACTTGATAGATATATTAAGCCCTATAACTACGTAGAAGATACTTTCATCTACGTAGATGATAACGTTTTACGTCACATATATTATCTTCTATCGACTTTGGTTACCATATTTTCTCGTGTAATTGACAATATTTCTGGGTCTGTTTATGTAACTTCTATCTTAATTAATAAAGACCAATATCTTGGACGTTCTTTTTTAGTGAGGTAGTATCTGAGCAGTAAAAAGTGACTCTTCATTTAGATATGTTGATATTTTGTTGAATGTATTTAAGTTATCTGTATTGTTTTAGATATTTTTAAATTTGAAATTTCCGGGGATTCGTGAAAATACAGGAAAGGCCTAAATAACATAGACCACATAAGTACTCCCTATAAAAGAATCTTACGTTGCAACACTTTCATTTAAAAGTGTCCCTGATTCAAACTAAGTATTTCAAAAGGTTTTTTTCGAAAGGAGGCATTTATTTGAAGCGGTATATAGGCACAACATAGGTATAGCATTATCACATCGGCATGTAGTCTTCGACAAACTTACAGCAGTAAAGCATGAAAATATGATTTTTTTTTTTGTCAGCTGCCTAATAAGTATCCGGTGTCCGATTCAAATTAGTCGTTGCTCTTGCTTTCAGGCACTGGTGTGTCTGATCCAGACTCTTGTTATTTGCACACCAGTGTAATAAAGTTGGAATATCACTGACGTTAGCAATACACACATTCCTCATCATACGTCCCGTCGCAACAGCTGTTTAAAATCAATGAACGTTGATTTGGAATAAATGTTTGCATTCATTATTTCCTTGTTAATTTGTTATGCCATGAAAGCATATTTGATCATGTAATAAGACATGTCATCGTCGATTGAAACGTGGTCCTGCGACAGTCTATTATTGACATAACAAGCTATTCATTATCACATTTCTATTTCGCTCTTTGTCTTCGTAAGGACAGTCCTATTATGAACAATACATATTTTAAATTGAATGTTTTAATCCCTCGCTGACAACGTACGCAATACCGCCTCCTCAGTGGTAATTAGTAAGAGGTAATGAAGAGCCATCTGGTTTTGGACTGGAAGTGTATAAAAGCTGTTCTGTGTCGAGACAAGACCACCACTCTCACTATGAAGACTTTGTTGGTACTACTTGCGCTCTCCTTTGTTGCCACATGTTGGTCGCGACCCCCTCAGGGGGAAGGCGAGGGCCCACCTCCACCAACTGGCTGTCCTCCCCCTCCTGAGGGTATGGGAGAATCCCGACCACGCAGGCAAGCACAACAACAAGGCCCCGAAGGTCAGAAAGGCGAAGGCTCCGAAGGCCCCGAAGGTCAGGGAGGTGAAGGCTCCGAAGGTCCCGAAGGTCAGAGAGGTGAAGGCTCCGAAGGTCCCGAAGGTCAGAGAGGTGAAGGCTCCGAAGGCCCCGAAGGTCAGAGAGGTGAAGGTTCTGAAGGCCCCGAAGGTCAGAGAGGTGAAGGTTCTGAAGGCCCCGAAGGTCAGAGAGGTGAAGGCTCCGAAGGCCCCGAAGGTCAGAGAGGTGAAGGCTCCGAAGGTCCCGAAGGTCAGAGAGGTGAAGGTTCTGAAGGCCCCGAAGGTCAGGGAGGTGAAGGCTCTGAAGGCCCCGAAGGTCAGAGAGGCGAAGGCTCCGAAGGCCCCGAAGGTCAGAGAGGCGAAGGCCCCGAAGGTCAGAGAGGCGAAGGCTCCGAAGGTCAGAGGAGTGAAGGCTCCGAAGGTCAGAAAGGCGAAGGTTCCGAAGGTCAGAAAGGTGAAAGATCCGAAGGTCAGAGAGGCGAAGGCGGCAAAGGCCCCGAAGGGCAAAAGGAACAAGGATCTGATGGTTCCGAAGAAAGGCCGGGAAGACCACCTCAACGAAGGTATTAACTGACATTCAAGGATAGTTTCCTATGGGCTCAGTTCCATATGTATATTTCTTGTTCGGTGATTTACAATGTGATTAGGTTGTCTGACAAAACATCCACTTGCACAGTTTGGGATCGATTGGGTCATTGGATGAAGAGATATTTACAAAAAAACGGGTCCACATGCATTTCATGCCAAACTATAGGTAAGCTTCAAAATGACTATACAGTAGAGAGTATGTACATGTTTCAACTTCTTATTTGACAAGACGAGTCTGAGTGTATCTTGTATATAGAGCCGTTCATGCATTTGTGATCAGGGACGGTGGACTAGCCTGGTGGTTAAAAGTTTCGCACGTCATGTTGAAGTACGGTCCTGTTATCCATATGGGTGCAATATGTAAAACACCTTGTTCCTTCCCCAGTCATATTACCAGAATATTGGAAGGACTTACTAATAAGTCACGCATCTTTGATCAAAACCTGCAGTCACGTTACCAATGTGCGTGAAAACCCCATGAAACGTATTACTGTTTTAACGCATGTTTTCTCATCTTTTCAGACGATGATTCCTGTGAAAGAAATAAAACATATATATACTGAACGATTTTGTTACGTGTAGTTCTTGCATGTTTGTTTTGTCATAATGTGTGTTTAACGTGATGTGTGAAGAAAGATATATTGTTTTGAATACTTCGTGGTATTATAGCCTGGTTGTGGTGAAAACGTACTGATGAATTTCACTTTGAACCAAAAAACGTAAATCAAATAAACTGAAATTAAGTTTGCGAATCCTCATAATTTTACCTTGCCAGTTGAAAATGGAAATTTCAGAATTTTATACAACTTAGGATAAAAGTTGTTTAACAAACGATCATAGATTCTAATCGCTATTATTGGTTTGTATTACAAGGGGGTGAACGCAGTAGTTGCGAACAGTGATACAAATGCACGTGCAGTACGTGATGAGCGTTAACTTAGACCAACCCTACTTGTTCTCGGTATTTCATTTAATGTGAAAACTATGATCGTTTGTTAAACAACTGTTATCCTAAGTTGAATAAAATTCTGAGATTTAAATGTTCAGTAGGTAAAATTATGAGGATTCGCAATCTTAATTTCACTTTATTTGATTTACTTTTTTGTTTAAAGTGTAAAAATTTAAGACATCTTAAAGTTAAATCTTAAAATATATTCAATGTGTTCATGTGACTGACAACCGGCCTTGATTTGAACACGTGTATGTTTCGACAATTGTAATGTAGAAGTAAGGCTCACACAAACAATTTCTACTTTAAACATTTGAACACAAGCAAGTCCTGAGTCCTGTAATTTTTAGAACACCTTTTCTTTAACTTCGGAAATTCCCCCATCCAGTGTGCAAAGAGACCTTAATCATCCAATTGCCTATCACATTGCTTCGACCCATGAAGATCCGGGTTAGAATTGGTCTTTAGCAACCCATGCTTGTCGTAAGAGGCGACTAACGGGATCGGGTGGTCTGGCTCGCTGACTTGGTTGACACATGTCATCATATCCCAATTGCGTAGCTCGATGCTCAAGCTGTTGATCACTGGATTGTCTAGTTCAGACTCGATTATTTACAGGCTGTCACCATATTGCTGGAATATTGCTGTGTGCGGTGTTAAACAACAAACAAACATACATACATACATACATACATACATACATACATACATACATACATACATACATACATACATACATACATACATACATACATACATACATACATACATACATACATACATACATACATACATACATGGGACGGTGGGGTAGCCTAATGGTTAAAGCGTTGGCTCGTCACGCCGAAGGCCCGGGTTCGAATCCCCACATGGGTACGTGGTGTCCCCCGCCGTGATGTTGCTGGAATATTGCTAAACGCGGCGTAAAACCACAACTCAGTCATACAGACATACATACATACATACATACATACATACATACATACATACATACATACATACATACATACATACATACATACATACATACATACATACATACATACATACATACATACATACATACATACATACATACATACATACATACATACATTTGTGACCGCCTCCGTGGTGTATTGATTAGAGCGTCCGCCCGGAGAGCGGAATGTCGCGGGTTCGATCCCCGACCGCGGCATACCAAAAGACGTTAAAATATGGTACTTGTTGGTCCCAGCCTGGCGCTCGGCATTAATGGGTACAACAAGGACTGGTCGGCTCGGAGTCAGTATAATTCGTCTGAGTGGGGTATTCATGCTTCACTGCGGCATGGTATCTCAGTGGGCTAGCACTATAAAACCAGCTTCAGTCTGGGCTAGTACAAGCAGCCACACATACACACGCATGTACGTCGTCATATGAGCGAAATATTCTCAAGCACGACGTGAAACCCAGTTTCACCTCACCTCACCTAACATTTGTATAACGCCGATATCCAGCTCATCTCAGCTGCTCAAAGGGGCTTTGTTTTTCCTTCGTTCACTGGATGTCAATCTCAACGGCACATCGTATTGTCAATCTCAACTCCCTGGGGAGCATACAACTCTTGCAGCCACTAGGCGCACCGAGTTATTGTGGCATTCCCATCCTTACGAGGTACCCATTCACAGCTGGGTGGACTGGGACACATAGTCACAGTACTTTGTCCAAGTTTACTGCACGTTGCTGTACCCGCAACTGGGTGTTTGCACGTATTCAGATGGCCACCATCTGGTCATATACCAACGTATTCGTGGGTTCTTTTAAGTGCACAGGGTTGTGTACTGTACACTAGGGGTTGTGACAACACTGAAAGAGTCTGCACAACAAAGTTGACTCCAAGGTTTTTACACCCGGTCACAGGTGGGCTCGATCCCGTCACCTCAAGCTCGCTGGATCACTAGCCTGGTGCTTTAGTCAGTTCGACCACCGCGAAATCTCCAATTCATTGTGAGTGAAGGGTATTCCAATATCAAATATCCATTTAAATCAAACAGTAGCCTTTAAAAGGTGGAATACCATCTGCAAAGTATTCTGCAAACACTTGATACGACACAAACAATGACTAGACATAGAAGTGTTCCTTTATTTAGTTGTAGTTGACATTAGTGAATCAGACAATTAAGAATTACATTGTGTTATCTTTCCTAAAAACAAGTAATCAGAAACTTTTTAAGTAAGAGGTAGACCTGCAAAATTACATGAACATCACAGAGAAGTATACCATTTCACTTGTTGTCAAGGTCGTGGAAGGTCACGGGTGCTGCCTATCTGCTGATGTCGTCTATGAAGCCTAACGATGGTGGAGTGGCCAAGTCCAAGTTGTCAAGCAATATCCCTGCTGCTGGTGCCAACCTGACTCATGCACGTTCTCTTTCGTGAGGTGTTAACCTCGGCATCTCAATTCGCTATCGTTAGCAAAGCAATGAGAATCGTTTCTCATACACCTGCTTTTAAGGTCAAAGTATGCATGATGTCAGAATGAAATTCGCACATTTTTCATGGCGTGTCTGCATGTTGATGCCCTTGGACTTCATGTTAGTCATATCCATTGATTATTGTCATGCTAAAGTCCATCTTGATGAAAATATGGACAATTTTAGTCTGGTGCGTTTTCAATGTTGGTGAGTATTTTTTTCTGTAGATGTGTCACTCGGTAACCACTACATCGCACATTCCGACCACAAAGCCACATGGTCCACAAAATAATGAAAGAATACTAAGATGTTTATTATTTATTTCAATGTTTATTTCCAAATTATTCAACAAAAGGCTATCTGTAAAAGGAGAAGACATACACCTAACAGAACAGTGAATACTATACAACCTACATTTTGTATAGTTCATGTATCGATCAGCTGGCGTGGTGGACGTAATGACACGGAGCATGGCGGTATTGTCATGGCTACTTCAATCAGATCAGTATAATCTCGTTGGCTTTTGAATAACAGGCAATTCATAATGGCAGTTCCACGTCAATTACTTAAGATCCCCATCACTTTTAAGTATCACGCATATGTGTATCCTTTGCTAGGACTAAGTTCAAATTGAATACAAGCTAGTTCCTGAGTGGAACAGATGGACGTCATCCTTCAGGACATCACATGGTCCTTTATGCCCCCATTTCACTGGGCTACGACCTATCAAGACTATCCCGACTAGTGCCGATTCGTCACCTACGATGTTATCGTTCTCAATCGGCCAGATTTTGTTAATATTTTCCTTTTCTACGCAGTATCTACGGTAAACCTACGTAATGGACGATGAAGAAACTGTAGACTTACGTATAAATACCGATAACACTGCGATTGAGCACCCGTTGTTGATACGAGTTCACCCAGTATTGGCCGATTGGCTACGTTTAAATCACGTTTTTGCGGCGATATATCTACGCTTCACCCCCGATGGATGATATAGAGAAGAGGAAGTTGATTTTAGAGTATTATAACAAGGACATCAGATCAGCTAAAGTGATTTCAAGTAGAACAGGCATCCCTTTGTCCACTGTTTATCGTGTTTTGAAAAATATTGCAAATGGATATGGCACTGAGCACCAGGGAGGCGCAGGTAGGCCCAGAAAATTGACTGTTGGTGACAGGAGGCGGCTTGGTATTCTTGTTTCTAAAAACAAACGAAGGAGTTTAGAAAACTTAAGGCTGGATATGATTGATAGAGGAACTGTGGCTGTCTGTAAGGAGACAATTAGAAGTGAGCTGCATGCAATGGGTTGGCAGAAAAGTCGAGGAATTCTATCACCGATCATTAAACCTGAACAAAAGGGGCGAAGGTTGAACTTGTGCTTACAGCATAGAAATTTGTGCAGTAGAATAAACACTTCTGATGATCACGCCGTAGGGATAGTTAGAGGTTTAAAATTCTCATCTGACACACATCCCCATTTGTAACAGGAACCTAAACCGATTCAGTCAGATAGGGAAAACGTATTGATTTAGATAGAAGAAATATTATGTTCAGGAATAATCGAGCTGACCACAAAAGAAGAAGGGCAACATGCTCTAACATATTTATCAGACAATAACACACTAATAAATCATGACTGATTTTTAAGCTAAAGATACATACTGTGTTTATCAATTACAGTCATTGTATGATGGAAACCTTAGATTCATTTAAAAAAAATGTAAAATACACATGGAAACGATATAAATTGATTTCAAGGATGAATCATTATTCACTCAAAACTCTTACGTAGGAGAAGTACACTGAGTCAATTATATATCTATGTGGCAGAGTAGTTAAGCTTGGCTCTAAGAGTCTTTATTGAGCCCAAACACATGCTGAAGACTTGCGCTTCCGTAGGAGAAGTACACTGTATCAATTTACGTGAATGGCATAGTGGTTAAGCTTGGCTCTAAGAGTCTTTGCTAAATTGTTAAAACCACTGGTTGCTGCACTGAGTGATATCTCGCCTAGAATACATTTATGACATTCATACTCAAAGAATTATTGATGTATATATTCAACACACCTTCCACTACTTTTCAAGATCTTGGGTTAAAGACTTATTGGGGAAAATCATGTTTTAACCAGCAATAGAAATTATACAGCTGAGTACATAACTTCTAGAATCCAGATT